TATACTTTGCAAGTTAAAAAAAAACTAACAACAACAACAAAATAAAAAAACAGGTACTCCTGTTTAAAGTTAAAAATCATTAGACCTCAAAGTGGCCCTCAAAACTGACTATGTAGCTGCTTAGTATGAGGTTATAGTTTCATTTAAATTTTTTCACAAGAAATTATTCAAATTAACACACAAGGAGAAATATTTATATGTATTTTACTGTGGTAAGTTTCTTTGGTAAACAGGGAAAACAAAAGAAAGAGGGTAAAGTCGAACTTTTTAGAGCAAGTGGAAGCTGTATAAGTTTTGCCTTCTGTGTGAATAAAACACGTCAAGGGCAATGGTGGTAAGTGGGGGTTAGTTTTGTTTTCCTGAGAGCATTTCGTTTGCTGTCTTTATTGTTTTGGGGTTTTCTTTGTTGGTTGTGAAGAAATGCATCCTTTGAAAAAGACCTTGGATGATGCACAACGACAAATGGAGAGAACAAGATGAATAACATGAAAACGGCGATGGCTGATCCTTAAGCACTGCCACGTTATCGCTTACGAAGAGCACAGTAAACGACGCTGAGGCTGATGCCGCCCTGTCCAAGCCAAGAAACCATAACCATGGCAACAGAGGCGCCACAAGTGCAAAAAAAGGCGGGAAGAAGCTTCTGATTAAAAGCACACTCACACGCGCGCTCACACATGCATACACACTTTAACTGTGTGCGTTGTCGGTGGCCTCCTCAAAGAGCAGATCTGATGCTATGTACTGTATAATGTAAATTAAACGAAGGGCTGGTTTCCTCATTTTTCCATCGTGTTTGATCAGTGGTGTGTGTTTCACTGCAGTGCAGCTGCACTACCCCTACAGGAAGTACACAGTCTCATCTGCAGAGACGCACACTGTAAATATACAAAGTTACACAAACAGTTGGATCTTCTAAACCAAAGACATTCAAAGACACACTAAGTTTTCTGTGTCTGTGTGTATGTGTGTGTGTCTGTGTCCATGCACATTCATGTCACCTCTCTAAGCACACCAGATCTGCCAGGCGGACATCATGCAGGGTTTGGAATTAATGTCTTCTTGCTGACATTCTCTCTCATGATATCTTCCACCAAAACATCCCTTCAACTCCCACTTGTTTCCAGGAGTCCTCCTCAGCTTCTTGATGTTTTCTTTCCTATTGCGCTCACGTCTTTCTTCTCCATCCATTGGGTATTTTGTGCTCTTATTATATACCACCTATGCTTTTCTGCCTAACCGACTTCTTTCTCTCTTAACGCCTGCTCCTCATTTTTCTCAGTTTGGCTTTTCTTCATATAAATCCTAATCCTATTTCAAAGCTAGACTAAAATTAATGAAAAGTAGCCTTTGGAAACAAAACCTAATGTGACAGACAGGAGAATGTACACATGCACTAATTGCAAATTCCTGTCTTACTTAATTAACAGCAGCCATATGCAGACATGTATTTTGTTATGTTCCTGATTTGTAAAATGTATCCTCTGCAAAAGGATTTCTTTTTCACAAACTGTTTCTGCCACTTGACATGTCACACTAATGAGCAGCATTTTGCATTTTAGCTGCTTTATGTCTCTGCCAGAGATGTGTGCTAATGTTACCAGTTGTGCGAAGGAAAAAAGATTTACAGACGGAAGATAGAGCGAATCCACAGTCTTAGCGAAAACAAGACAGAACAGATGAGACAAATCAGGAAAACATTTCTGATATTTAGACTGAACTGATGCTGTGCTATGTAACAGGAATATACAATGTGGCTATACAATAAAGTTAAGATTATGCTCAGTTTGATATACTGGCTGAAATGAATGGCCGACTGACGTTGCGTCTCAGACATTTATTCCTTCCTCTAAATGTCACCTGCAGAAATCTTTCTACTTGGATCTTAACAGATATTTTATCTGCTTGTAACTAAACGCAGACAGTCGGTGCTTTGTTGAGCAAGTCAGCCTTCTGAATGATCACACTGCAGCGGAAAGCAGAGTTTGCAACAATCAGATCAAGTGAGAAAGAATAACTGTGACTTGTGTTCGAAACTATAATAGTGTTCAAACAGCCAGAGTTTGGATTAAAGATGGATTTATTTTGTGCTGTGAAATTTGCAGGGTGGGAATTTATCTAATGCACGTCTGTTATAATTAAGCCTTGATAAATGAACACAGTGCTTATTGACCTGGTTAGAGCCAGGCACGTTTTTTTTCTGTACAAGAAGCATAATCATAAAAGGCAAAAAACATATATGATCTAAATGTGACCAATCGCTTCTTCAAGGCAACCTTCCTATGCAATTCTGGACTGCTTATAGTGCTGCTGCTATTTCCAGACTGCTCACTAGGGTTTGGTTTTGAAAAGCTCTAATTTAACAGTCCCATCCTGAACCAGGCATGTGGTCTGAATACAGTTAAAGCCACGTGAGGGTAGGTTTGAGGCACAGCCTGCAAGAGTACCACTTCTACTAATGTTAATGTACACCAGTACATTAGGAGTGTGAGCGAGATAAAAGACAAAAACAACGTTACCAAACATGGCACCCCAATTGACGCAGCTCAAGGCTCACATGTCCCAAAAGAGGGCACTGTAGAAAAGACGGAATATGGGAATGTGGAGGCATTTTGGCTGTTTAATGTCCAGCGTTGAAAAAGACTATCATACACAGCAAACTGTGTCACTCCACAAATTGTTCTTACCATCCGAACCAGTGCCATCCTCTAGCGCTCGTGCAATGCAGGACTTGACGGTGCCAGACACTCTCTCCCATGCCTTGCCTTACCATGAAAGCAACAGCTCAACTTATTGCACAAGTCACGATGCCAGCAAGCAACAATCAAATCAAACAAATCTATTTAAGCGGGTGATTAAAGTAAATGACCCTCGTTACCAACTCCCTGGGTATTTTGTGATCAGGTATATTCCCCCATACCTACTGTAATCTTAAATCATGCCTTAAATCCTTTCTAAATCTGACTACATTCTTTGTCTCCTCCGCCTTCCTAGGTGACAGTTATTAACCCTCTCACTGTAGCTCTCTGTGCCTGAGCTGACTTTTACCAGGCCATGTCAGGCTTCACACTAACTTCCCTGAGGCTGCTGCCATGACTAATTTTGGACCTTCTGAGGCATAATGATACCTTTATCTTGCTTGGCACACTGCCGACATTTTAAAATTCATAAACATGCATATATACAAGTATATCAGCGTTTGTACAGGAGTGCAAGGCAAGCTCACACTATCGCCAACACACAGACAGACACGTGCAAAAAGCTCACACCTAATCTGTTCCTTCCCCACCATCTTTCCATTTCAGGGCTGTCAAGCAAAGTGTCACAGGGTGAGCTTTAGTGCCACCCCTCCCAGTAGTCCCCTACCATTGACTATTTCCAGAGCCACTCAAGTGGAAAAAAGCACAAAATGCAAGGAGGAAAAAAAGAAAGCGAGAACAGGCGATGTTGATGGCCTCAAAAACTCCTCCAAAACTCCAAAACAGAAGCAGGGAGTGTCTTCTCGCATGACATACACACTCTGAATTGTCATGAGTGTGTTATCAGACTCCTTGGAGATGCTCTGTGTGTGTGCGGGCTACAGTTCTCTGTAAGTTGGCTGCAACTACCTGGCAGATGTAACCTGAGGCTTTCACACAAACAAATACACACAGAGAAAGACAGAAGAGTTGGCTGCATTTTCATCATCTCTCTGCTGTGGAATCAGAGCCCTGAGTCACAGAAAGGCCCTGCTGCCAGGACAGTAGATTTTTTTTTCTTGCACAGAAGGCAGAAACAATGCAATACACTGAGCAGACGGTTGGGGAGGCCACTGAGAGCAGTGAGGGGGCGTGCAGTCTGTCCTACATACACACCAGCACATGCAGATACACACAGATACACAGCAGGAGTGTACAAGGAGAGTTTGGAGAGGGCAAAGAAGTACCGTGGGTTGTAGATCCTTGTATTGCATACTGTGTCCTTGTAATGGACAGATAACACTACTAAACAGACAGATAAGATAGCAGTTAACCAGATTAGGCGTACAGGCTGACAAGACTTAGAGTTCCGTCTTAACTGTATGGATGATTTCTTTTCATACACCCAATTACATGTTTCTCTGTCACGATGTCCTTTTCTAAACTCAAAGGTTTAGTGAGTCAGTAAAACAAACATTCAAAAGTTTGGCTAACTCGCTGACACATAATGAGAGGATTAGGATCGTAAAGTCCAGCTTTTGAGCCCAATCAAAGAAAAGTTTAATGAGCTCTGCAAATTTATATTAGAAATAAATATCTCAGAGACTTATCAAATCTCAATCAAAATCATTTCAGTCTCTCTAAAATGGCTGAGAGGGTGAAAGCTAGCTTCGGAGATCTCAGATGTGATTTCTGTTGTACTTCTCATCCTTTCAAGCTCCTCTTGAATGAGCCATTGGGGTAATTACGAGCAGATGAAATGAAAGTAAGTGGGCTGGTGGTGAAGGTCTGCCAAGCATTCACATCGTGAGCGCGGCTACAGAATTAGAGGGAAATGGACACACTGACAAAGAAAATGTCAGCATGACCGAGAAGAGCTAATGAGAAATGTAAAGAGATGTGGTTTTTTAATCTCCTTGAAGATAGCTGCGGAGGGCTACTGCTCACAACACGCAATATTTCACAAATTGGCCACATCTAAATGACTATAGCTATTATCCATATTATATTGTCCTTAATTGGCACAGCTAGCCATTATCAGCTACTGCTAAGAAACAAAAGATATAAAACTCGAATATAACTTCTGGGTCAGAAAAGTGAGGCAAGAGTTGTCTGTGTATCAGAGAACCTAAATCTTGTGATTTAATTGTTTATAATTAATCTAATACACGTAAGAGAAAATTTGTAGAAACTTTAGCTTCTGGGAAGATTTCCGAGACACTGGTTTAATGGCTATGTGTGCAGATGGTTATCAGAAAGTTCTGTATTACATGCACTCTAGGTCAGACGATGGGGATTGCCCACAGTTTAATGAGGACTCACCCCAGACCGCAGTTTGAAGCAGAAGGAGGGCCAGCAGGAGCTGCGGTCCACAAACAGGCAGTAAGCCCTGCATCCTGCTGCACCTGGAGACAGAGATGAAGAGAGAGGGAGGAAATGTGAGTACACAAAGGAAACTGTAATCAACACATTGCCCTTGTGAAGTTCTTCTAATACACAAGACATGCTTGGATGAGTCATCATTAATAATTCCTTTTCAAGGGATTTTTTCCCCCCCTGTTGCTCAGTGAAGGCCTTAGGACACACATACAGTTCATTCTTCAGTTTAATTTGCTGTTTCGTAATGTGGGTGGGATAAAGTCTTCTGAAGCCTTTTCAGACAATGGTGATTAAAGGCTTTTAAAGGCTATGTAATAAATACCTCGACTTGATGTGACCATTGTGTTTAATCCTTTTGAAGTACAATAAAGAAATAGATGATTATCTTTACACTTCACAAATAGCTATTGCTCAGAATTAAATGTACAGGCTGAGATTTACCTTTTATCTTTAAATCTATCCCAATATGTGCTTCTTTCTCAGAATATTTCATGGCATAAATTTTCACCTTATATCCAAGCTCTCAAAAACCATGCCATACCATCTTTGCGCACTAAGCCATCAACCAACTGGCAATAGATGTGATGAAAATTCTGGTAAAAAATATTAACTATATAATGTGCCTAATGGCTTGCTTGATATAGCAAGCTGTTCAAAGGTTTAATGGAGGGGGGGAAAGCAAAAGAGACTTTTTGGGAAAAATGCTGAAGAAGAGGAAGAGATGCTGATGGATTTCAAGAATAAAAATAGATAGATAAGGATACTAGAGCCAAATCTAACATGATGGACCTCTGGGTTCGCTTGTTCCACACTGCCTGCTGAAAACTCTGCTGAATCAAAGCAGGATCGAGTCTGCCACATTCAACAAAAAAAGCTATGTATTTGAGAGGTAGGTTGACAGGAGGTGTCTATGGTATGTCTGTATAAGTTTATCTGGAAAACATTTTTTAAATAACTAGGGATATTTGTGACTTACACCGATGCTGGCTTAGCTTTCACTTTAAAATTCAAGGAGTATAGGAACTAAAACATGCTGATAATGACTACCCAATGCCAGTGTACATCACAGGACTGAATATTTTTTCTCTCTTGCCAAGATCTTTGCAACCTTTTGTATTTTTCATCGTAGTTGTCCGAGAGTTTACAGCAGCCAACAAGAAAACAAGAGATGGACGACCATACAAACAAGGCTCAAGTAACACTATTATCTGAGCATTTATTTATGTATATGTGACTATAACATAATGTCTTTAAGTCACAAAAGCAAGGGGATGGAGACCAAATGAGGTAAGTCGGCCTCCTGCTGTTGGGTCCCGGGTGTAAATAATGAGTATGGCATCTCTGGAGACATGGCAGGCCGAGCGGGGCCTGAGGGCAGGAGAGGAGCTGGGTGGGAGGGATGGAGGAGGATTTAGTGGCTGGTCGCAGAGATGCAGGACATAGATAACCAGTGTCAGTTACGGCAGCGCTGGTCTCTCTGACTCAATCTCAACGTTACAGCCAAGGACAAAAACACTGACCTCATACCAAATACATATGCTCTGCAACAGCTCAATGTCCACGGTGGCAGCACACGTCAAAACAGCAAGTTTGCAAAAAGAACATTTTTGAAGCTGAACCATTGTAAAATCCTGCTTGATAGCAAATGGTTAAGGCAAATAAATGCAGCTATTTTACAAAACTCTCTGAAAGTAATTATTAAAAGCCTGCAGCCTTAATTATGTGCAGGACAGGCATCACAATACAAGTTCAATTTAACTGAACTGATCTGTTTTTTCTTCTTTTCTTTTTTTTTTTTTTTTTTTTAGAAAAGCTAGATCAGCATCAGGTATTTAATTTCAACTTTCATGAGAATATACACAGAAGACTCTGCAAGTCCAAACAGCATGTATTAAAAGTCTATCTTAATTGCTATTTTGGCTTGGTGCTGTATTTTCTAACATTCGGAACTTTTTTAATTAATTCTAAAATAAAAGCATATTGTTTTCAAAATTGCTTAAGTAATTACACAGTCACAGTTTAAGCTTCTGCCACAGCAGGTCATCTGCCTCCATCTCACCCTATCTCTTGCATCCTCTTCATGTATACTGAGCCACATCTTCCTCCAGTGCATTCATGAATCTTCCTTTCCACCTCTGTTCCTTCTGTCTTGCAGCTCCATATTCATCATAGTTTGATATTGTGCTTTATTTTTCCTTCACTGGTTGCTAGGTTTGACTCTTTCTTGTGTCTTTCCCTCCTCAGTTTATCAAAGCTGTTAATCATTAGCAGCTACTCATGTGCACTCTCCGGTCACAATTTTGTTTACTGTGACCAACCATTTTCATCGCTTCCTTTTATTTTACCCAACCATCATCTCTACATTTAGTCTACTATCCATCGTTCCTTCACTTTTTTCATGGTGTTTGCTTTTCATTCCCTTTGCATTTTAAATTTAAGGCCTCCACAAAGCTATAGTAAATAAAAAGTACAACATTTTATCTTAGTATGCCCTTTTCTGCAAATTGTGTATTAAACTCTTCCAGGACAACGTTAATGCTTTGCATTGGTACATCACACCTTTCTATAGACCGCTGTGCCCTCCTTTCTCCTCCTCTCTCCTCTTTTGTGATGCAAGGTTATCTCTTGTATATCCACAATAGGACTCTGGCTGTTACAAGGATTCTAGGACAATGTTGTATAAGTGAGAGCGGTTTTCTACATCTGTATTCTACGTGCTTTCTACAAAGTATGTTCCAGACAACATGCTGAGACTGTCCTTTGAAAACATCAGCTCACTTGAGTCAGACCTGACATTAAACTCCCACATCGAGTCTAAATTCAGCAGCGTAAATTCTCCATCAAGAGTTTGGGGGATGCAAGAAAAATATTCTGATCCATGTGAATTTGGCTCCAGTCTTGGCTCCACATTTATATATTGAACTCAGGCAAATTCCAGTCAGAATCAGGGCTGTTTAATTACTAAATAGGTGCAGCAGAGTTCACTATGTATGGAGCCAGTAGCACGTGCTTTTTAAGTATCACCTGTGGATGGACTCTTCAGTATGCTTACCACTGACATCAGAGTAGGCAAACCATATAAGATCTGGTATTTAAGACTACTTTTATTCTACTTCTACTTCTTTACTATTTACTATTCTTTTATTTAAGTCTCTATTTAAGTCACTGCTAACTGACTAGAAATGAGAATCAGTTAACTATCCGGTGCAGCTGACATTAAGCTCCATTGTGCAGTAAATTGTAAGGATGTGGCAACATATTGTCGAAACATTCATAAAGGAAGATATCCACTTTGTTGACACCAACTGAAAAATAAGATTACAATTGCTGTGTCACATCATTTTGTGCTGAGTACACGTTGAGAGATGCTGAGAAACTGAAAGACTAAAAGAGTTCAGCTACTTTTAATATGATTTTTCCTACCAAAAAAGGAGAATAAATGACAACAAGTCAATGAAGGTTTATTTTTTGAACTATGTGACTTGAATATGTTATATGAGATCACAGACAGGAAGTAATAAATCTAGCATAAGAACCTACAAATACTACCTTTACCGCCCAGCCCCTCATCTATACAGCCTCAAAGCTGACGCTTCACTTATCTAGGTCCCCCATAATATAAGTGTGAAGTGGATCGGGTGAATAGCTAATGAGATATGCAAAGAAAATAAAGGCAGAAAAACATACAGAGATTCCTTGATTTATTAATGCTATTAGAAAGTCTTCCAACCGAAGCTGACTAATCGCAACTGAAAGTCAGTATGATCTCTCCTGCTGTGTGGTAATATCAGCAGGAAAGATTCAGCCAGATCTCAGCATGTCAGAGATGTGCCCTGTTCCCCACCATGCCTGTCACAGATACTGTAGATAAGACAGACAGCTAGATGGTTACAGACAGACCGACAAAAATACAGAGACATCCTGAAAGAAAGATACAGAGCCAAGCTGTCGCATTTTCCTTTCAGTTCCAAAGACCTTGGTCCAACCTCAGCCTTTCATGGATGACTTGCTCAATCCATCTGTCGTTCCATCTTAATCTCACCTTCTACCTTTTTCTGTCTATCTATATTTGGATAAAATTAGCTGCCAGTCTACGTCTGCCACCATCTTTACCCATGGCTCAAAGAAGTCTTTTTTTGTGTGTGTTTTTCTCACACACAAGTTTGATCTTGCTTCATTTATTTGCTTTTCTCAAATTGTCGCAACACTCTTTCCTCGCCATGCTGCATTATTAAGGAGGCACATTAATCACTCGGGCTGCCTGTCACTCCATCGCCACACACTTCTGTTGTCCCCGCAGCACACATGCACACACATTCACACACACATTAATGCTGGTTTCACAGGGGGAGTTAGTCCCATCAGTGTCTGTGTATAAGTCCCTTAGAGTGAAAAATGAGGCTACCCTTCGAGTGACAAAGGGCTGTTTTCCTTCCAGGAGGATATTACCAAGGTTTTAGCAAGCAACCTGTCACGCTGTGTCATACATAAATGGCTTCAGCACTTCACATTTTCTGCACAAAAGGGGACTGTTCTGTGTTTGCACCTGTCTTGAAGCATGTGTTATCCTTGGGTGGGTTTCTTTTGTTGCTGGCGAGCTACAGCATGAAACACCTAAATAAAAACAATGGCTGAGTGGGTGGCTATATTCCAGCTTATAAAACCTGTATGAGGCAAAACAGCAGGACCGTACGGCTGTTCAGACAAGAAAAAAGAATGAAAGAAAAAAGGAACATATACTGTGTGCTGGAAGAGAATAAGTTGTACAGCTGACAATTGAGATGACTCATTGATAACTCCTCAATTACCATCCAAATTGAGAGAGGAAGAAAAATGGGCAGGTAGCTGAAATAAAAGCGAAAGGAAGTGAGGTAAACAAAGTGTGAAAAGGCACAGAGAAACAAAAACGGTACTGAGAAAGCCAAGGCTTATTTCAGCCCAACTCAAATGCCAAGCCTGAGTGGATGAGAGGGGAACTTGAATCTTAAGCAGCCATAAATTTCCCCTGATGCTTTGCTATGCCTGC